TAAGGGCACTTAGAAGGATGCTACATAGAAAGACAGAGTGAAACTGATTATGTTGGGATGACGTAAAAAAAAATGGATATGTGAGAACAAGGGATGCCCTGAGAGAAGAGGAAAGGGAGAGGAAGAATGGGGGGAATTATCTCAAATAAAAGAATCACACAAGGAAGAGCTTTTACAGTGGAAGGGAAAATGATGAGGGAGGGGAAGAAGCTCAGAAAAGTTTGAACCTCACTCACATCTAAATTGGTTCAAAAAGGGGGAAATATATATATTATACATATATATATGTATATATACATACATACAAACATATTCACGCACACACATATCCAAGTAGTAAAAGAAATCTATCTCACTCAACAGAGAAGTAGGAGAGGATTGTAATTTGTCTCGAAGAGAACAATGACATCAGGAAGGTGATGTCATGACTTAGAAGTGAATTGGTTCTAACTGAGGGAGTGCTGTATGAAGTCACCAGCCTCACTTTCTCCTCTAAAGCCATCTGGATCCAGTGGCCAGATACAGAACAGGACAACTGGGATGGCCCAGGATGCAGTGAGACACTTTGGCCTTTTTAAGCTAAGGTCTTTCTGAATTCTCACTCTGACTGAGGCAATGCCCATTCAGTGATTAGGGCTCTTTAAGAAGTGGGCCAAGGGATGGCCCCTTTAATCAAAACAAACAAAAAAACTTAGGAGGGGAATATCCTCAGCGTTTCTGGCCAAAGAAGAAACAACTGGAGGCAGCTAGGTGGCACAGTGGATAGAGCTCCAGTCTTGGAGTCAGGAGGACCTGAGTTCAAATCCGGCTTCAGAAACTTGACACTTCTTAGCTGTGTGACCCTGGGCAAGTCATTTAATTCCCACTGCATCACCAAAAAGCAAAAAAAAAAAAAAAAGGAAGAAGAAGAAGAAGAAGAAGAAGAAGAAGAAGAAGAAGAAGAAGAAGAAGAAGAAGAAGAAGAAGAAACAATTACTATTTACATTCACTCTGATCCATCAAGGCCCAAACAATAACCATTAAGGGGTGCTTGGGTGGGAACTTGTTGTTGGCCAATCAATGACAGCCAGAGTGAATTTGGGTTTAAGGCATGGTCTTTAAGAAAGAAATCTAACCAGTAAACCCCTAGGTAGGTTTCAGCTTTCAAATTTTACCTTCCTTTGGGCAGAGCACTGTCAGGTAAGGGCATGATGGAGAGCAGAAAAGAGGAGAGGAGTTGGCCAACTGGAACTGGTTAGCTGGGTCCTCAGTGGGATAGCTCAGACTACTCAGAGGTTGTGGTTTGTCCTTCATTCTCGAAGAGGATCATGACATCAGAAAGATGATGCCATAACTTGCAAGTGAATTGGATTACAGTGAGGGAGGGCTGTGCAAAGTCACCAGCCTCACTTTCTCCTCCACAGCCCCTGGGTCCAGTGGCCAGATACAGATGAGGACAACTAGAGATGGCCCCAGTAGGAGAGGAAGGGGATACTGGAAAGGGAAGGTGATAAAAGGGATGGTAGATAAAAGAAGGAAATGGTCAGACACAAAACAGACTTTAGAGGAAGAATAGGATAAAAAGAGAGAAGGATAAACAGAAGAAAATAGGATGAAGGGAAAGGCACAGCTAGTAATCATAACTATGAATGTGAATGGGAAGAACTCACTCATAAAACGGAAGCAGATAGCAGAATGTATTAGAAACCAGAAAACAAAAAAATGTCATTTACAAGAAATCCAATGAGAAACTACAGTACGTGACTCCTTCCACCCACAAATTGCATAAAAAGTCAGCCAGAAGCCCATGGGCAAAAGGAAAATGTGCCAAGTGAGTGTAGCAGTACAGTGCAAGCAACCAAATCAACAGCTTCCCAGAGTAACCAGAGACACCTCGTATATGAGGCAGTAAGAGTCAAGGGCTCCCCTAAAATAACCTCTAAGAAGGACGGAAAATCCCAGAGTAATCATAAAGCTACAACGTGAGGACTTTGGAAGCCCCAAGGAGCAGCAGTGACCAATGCAGCACAGCAATGCTCAGACTAGGACAGCCCAGCCACCCAGGGGCTCCAAGGTCCTTAGCACTCTGTCCCTAAGGTACCACACAAGGGCCCTGATCATCTAGCACTCTGAACCTCAAAGATCCAAGAGGGCCTAACTGTAGGAGTGGAAGTCTGGACAAGAACTCAGGGGACCCAAGGGAACAAGGAGGTTTGACTACCCTCCCCAAAAGGATGGACCCGCAGACTAATGGGAAACATTATCAGAAGGCCTTAATAATATTGTTTGGTGATTTAAATGTAACTAAACTTAATATAATCATAATCATAGCTGATATGTATAGAATGCTTTAAAATTTAAAAAGTATTTTATATATTTTATCTTATTTGATCTTCATAACAGTTCCAAGGTGGAAACTATGGAAATTATTTTCATCTTACAGAGGAAGAAAAAGAGGTTAAGTCATCTGTCCAAAGTCACACAGCTACTGTCAAATTGTGGATTCTCTTGAGTTTGAGTTGAGAACTCTTTCCAGTATCCCCAAGTGCCTCTCTAAAACTATACCGGCAACATGCCACAACTTCAAAAAGTTGATATCTCAAAATGTCCTCAGAGAATGAGAGGACTGTAGAATTTAGAGCTGGGTGGGGCTTTAGAAGTCATTCATTCATCTAATATTTTTTCATTCAGTAAACAAACATTAAGCACCCACTATTTGGGTGTTTAAAAAACAGAAATGAAATAGTTCTTGCCCTCAAGAAGCTGATATTCTTTAGGGAGAAATAACATGTAAACAAACAAGTACAAAGTAACTTGAGGAAGGAGGAAGAGGACATTAACAATGGTGGGGGTTGGGGGGGAAGGGTTTGGTGTATTTAGAATTAGAAGACAGCACTTGACAAAAGCCAGGAGTCCTAAGAGGTAAGGAACAAATGTTAAGCTAGGCATGAGAGAGGATTTGTGCAAAGATACGCAGACTATAAATGGACCACAAGGAGGAGGGAGGAAGACGGTGCAGGAAGAAAAGTAATACACAACGAACCAGGAAAAGTAATCTGGAGTCAGTCGGACTACAGAGGGCTTCAAATGTCCAACAGAAGAGGCGGTGGGTTATCCTCCTAACAGCAGGGAACCACAAAAGCAACACAGGCACACTAATGCAGTGCCCTTATTTTAGAAATAAGGAAACTAAGGCCCAGAGAACAGAAGGGAATTGCCCAAAATCATGTAGCTATTAAGTACCAGAACCAGGACTCAAACCCAGATTCTCAGATTCAGGGGTTCTTACACTGGGGTTCACAGATCCCCAAGAGTTCCAGAGACAGACTTCAGGAATTTGTGAACACGGATAGGAAAAAAAAATTACATCTTTACTTTCACTAACTTTTAATTGAAATTAAGCATTCTCTTCAATTATTTAAAATCATTATCCTGAGAAGGGGTGCACAGGCTTCACCAGACTACCAAAGGGGTCCATGATGCTCCCCAAAAGGTAAGACTCCTAGCAGCAGAAGGGAACACAAGAGACATAGGCCCAAGTCCCTTTTTTCATAATAAAAAAAGCCACTAATATTTATGTGACACTTTTTTAAAGTTTGCAAAGAACTTGATATACATTTTCTCTTGGGATCCTCACAATCACCCTAACAAGGCAAATGCCACAAATATTATTATTTCCTTTTTAGAGGTAAAGAACTGAGGCTGAGAGCAGCTACTTGCCTACATTAACTCACACAGTGTCTGTGTCTGAGGACCCACATCTTCTTGACTCCACATCCAGTACCTTACCCACTTAAGCATGTAACCACCCCTTCTTCTTCTCTCACTGGCTCCCTATTTTCTACTGAGTAAAGTTCAGACTCCTGTGCCTGGTCCTTAAGACCCTTCAGAATTTGGTACCACTATAGCATTCCAGTCTTCTCATACTACTTTATTCTCCTACCATATGTTCTTTTAAGTTCCAGTCAAAGAATAGATTTCAGGGCATCCCTCACAGATGACCCATATTTTCCTCTTTCCATGCTTTTGCTCATGTTGAATCCCATTCTTGAAATGTTCCAACACACTTGTTGAATATCTATCTATACTTGAAAGTTTTAAACAATGTTACCCCAAAATCAAGAATGACCTTTCATTCTCTCTTCACAGAACGCTTTGCCCTGATGTACTTATATTTTGTAAAATGAGGGGGCTGGGATCCTAATGCCTCACCAGGCTCCAAATCCCACAACAGCAATCATCTTCAAGGGTATCTTAATCCTAAACGATATCTAGGATGTTATACTATAATTATTTGTCTACATACACATATACACATATAATTCCTCATCTGGCCATACTACTCTGTGACATCTCTGACTTCTCCACCATGCCCTGACCTCATTAAGAGCCTTTCCCCCACCCTCCAGCTTTTTAGCTCCCTTTTATGTTGTCTGAGTCCTCTATTAGATTGTAAGTCCTTTGAGAATGGTGACTGGTTTTCTTTTTTCATATTTGTACCCCCACCTCTTCCAGAATACATAGTAGATACTTAATAAATGCTTACTGACTTACTGATGGAATGTCTATCTATCTATCCACCGCCAATGCAGTCTTACCCTAACCTTTGTATCTCCCCCAGAATCTAGAATAGCACTCTGTACACCGCAGTTACTTAGTAAATACTGAACAATTCAGGAAACCCAACTTCATTAAAGAATATCAACAGGGGCCAGCAGAAACTACCTTTTGTTAAATTACTAAACATGAAATACACCTTTATTTATAAACAACATAGTCAGCTTTAACCAAGTGATGTACCCCTGTCAAGATCACAGATCTACACAAAGTTTGACAACAATCCCTAAAGGAGTCAGAAGAATTAGGCTACCTAGCTAAGTCCTATCCTCAAACCTAGGTGCTGACAAACATCTAGAATAAAGAATCACTGCTATGGAATGAAAGAATAGTCTTATCTTGAACCTAAAAAGTGAGAGAATAGCCTATCTCTAAGCAGACTACAAGGTATGCCACATTATTACCTCCATAGAAATCTTCATCTTCATCTTCATGTTGATAGGTCTGTTCTTGTATAAAGTTCTTCCTGTAAATGCGCCCTTCGATTTTTACAAGCTGTGGACGGAGGACTTCCATAATGCTTCTTCCAAAAAATCTTCTGGCAAAATACTGGAAAATAAATCACTGCCTTACTAAGAAAGAAAGAAACCCATGCTCTTCCCTGTACACAACAGAGGAAAGTTGAGGATTTTAATAAATATCCATTCACAATACATCTGACCACTAGAAACAAAAAAGCCCCAACGCTCCCATTAGATATCTAACATCTGAAAGCTGTTGTCACTTTTATTTCCTAACTTTTCTAACGTATCATGTATTCCCACTCTACTGTAAACAGCTTATTTATATCATCAATTAATACCCAGAGAAGAGGCTATCTAGTTCAGTTCCTATGTTTGAAAAATAAAATGAGCTGGTCTCAGTGGTATTATTAACCTAAAGAGAATAATACCATTTGTATTTATTAAATGCTTTATACAGGGAAAAATTCATCTCCCTAAACATAATCCTAGCTAAGGTCACCAAGAATAATTATTTAAAAATATTACCATCTTCTCCACATAAAATAAAAGAAAAATGGCCAAAATGTATCTTGGGACTGACAAAAAGCTCTGCCACTGTACTACAGTTTAATTGATGACTTTCCTTGCACCCGCCTTTGTAACAATAAGGTTAAGAGACTCCAATACTATTCCGTGGGGCTTCTAGGCAGCTAAATTCACACCAGCGAGTAACTTCAGCTCTCTACTTAACAAACTAATACTTCAGCAAAGGTTCTCATTAGATTCAATAAACCATGCTCAATCATCCCCCAGTATTATAGATCGAACTATTCCAAAAAGCCTAGTAAAAACAGGTCAACACTGTATCTATGAAGGCTATTTGGATCAACTATTTTTTTATACCGAGTCTAACCACTTGAGAGGGAAATCCAACTCAATTCAACAACTTTTAAGCTAAGCAATGAGGACACCAAGACAAAAAAGAAGCTAACCCCTGCCTTCACGGAGCTTACATTCTACATTAAAAGGAGGAAGCATAAGGAAGCTGCTAAATCAACTGAGACTGGTGGGAGTTTGGAGAAAGGCGAGCCCAGGATGTTGCACTGACGTTTTCAGACTAGCTCTCTCTCTCATTGGCCAGGCCTCCCAGGCTCTGCTGTAGGCCAGAGGGGCAGCAAAAGGAAGGAGCCAAGCGCGAAACCTGAAGCACAGTGCCCAGGCATTGAGCTCCCCTCGGTTCATGAGGCGGGGTGGGGGCGGGGAGGAATTATCCCCGGCCTGGGCAGACCCCAAACCTCCCTCCCCCTACTCTCCTCAGGAGCTCTGCCCTAAAAAAGACATCCGAATCTGAGGCCCAGGAGAGGCCAGAGGAAGAGAGGAGACCCGAGGCGGTGCAGCGAGCCGCCACCACAGCAGCCAAAAAAAGGCATGAAGTGAGGAAAGTGGGTACGGAGAGGAAAATTGGGAAGAGAACACCTACAGCGGCCCGGCGCTGCCCCAGAGCCGCTGGCAAGCGCCTAGAAAGGGGCGGACGTGCGCGGGCGCGAGCACGCCACCACCGCCTCCAGCTCTCCGTGCGCAGACGCACGCAGACGCACGTCTCTGTCGTCACTGCCGCCCGCGGCTCCCGGGGGAGGGGCCGGAGCAGCCGAAAGGCCCGTGGCTGAGGTGAGTGACTTGGCTAATGGAAGCGTGCTCGGGAGCTTGAGCGAGGAGGGACGATGGGAAGGGGGGAAGGAGGGACGAGGATCCCGGGAGCTTTAGCCGTCAAGACGGAAACGAGGGCGAAGTGGAAGCGGCCTGGGTTGAGAAGAAGAAGCCCGTCCCAGCAGCGGGCGTGTTGAGGGAAATTATTTTCAGGTCGTGCTGCTCCTGTTACGCATGCGGAGTCAGAGCCTCTCTGCCTCGCCGCCTCCGTAAGTTTGCGCGTGCGCGATGTGATCCCTCTATCCTGCCCCAGGAGAATCAAGGAGAGCCAGGATAGAATGGAGTTTGGCTTGGCTTGACTTAGCTCGGCGTGGCGTGGCGTAGCGTGGCTTGATACCACCCTAAATTCCAGTCCCTTAAGGAGGACCCTGTAGCTAGAATCTTACCCCACTGCCACCCATTCACCCCCCAATAGTCGTATCTACTCTGCACCAGGGGAAGGAACACACTTACTGCGGTGGTTCTTAGAAATGCATTCCTAATTGCTGAACGATAACTTGCCTTTGGCCCTGACTTGCATAGTCTTTGCATGGGGCGTTGGCCCCGCTTGCATGGTCTTTGTCCATTAAAGTCAAAATGGTTTGAGTCCTTTAAAAAGACATCACTTTGTAAACTCCATTAAGAGTAGGTCCCTTCAGGCTTACAATCTGTGACTTAGTGTCCTATTCTGAGGTCAGAGCCCTAGGATTTTTCTGTGGTATCTCTACAGCAAATATATCCTTTATTCTTTCTTCCCATGGCTGCAGTCTTAGTATAGGCTATCCATCATTATTAGTCATGAAAAAAAAAAACTCTAGCCAGTCTCCTCCCTCACCTTATGCTGCCCCCCTCCCCCATACATCCTACATCTGGCAGACAACCTCCTATACACTACACTTGTTACTCCTCAGCTCACAACTCTTACGTGGTTATCCATTACTTATCCATGGAAGTTCAGACTCTCTAATCTGGCACTGCCCTGTCTTATTTTCCTCTAACTGCTTCCTTATCAGCTTCATATTTTCCCCACCTCCCTGCCATAAGTCATGTTGTTCTTTGTGTCTTTGCCCACCCCTTCGCTTGTTCAACAAATTCAGCTAAACAAACATGAAAACGGTGTGCTAGGCTTGGGGCATACAAAAGAAAAACAAAACAAGGGGCAGCTAGGTGGCACAGTGGATAGAGCACAGGCTCAGGAGGACCTGAGTTCAAATCCGGCCTCAGACACATAACACTTACTAGCTATGTGACCCTGGGCAAGTCACTTAACCCCATTGCCTAGCCAAAGGAAAAAAAAAGAAAAACAAAACAGCCCCTGCCTTGGAGGAGTTTATGGTCTGCTGGGAGAGGGGAGGAATGTGACATTTACACAAATAAGGAAAGAACAAAATGTCCAGAGGGAAGGAGAACCAGCAACTGCAAGAATCATGAAAGGCCTTCAGTATCTTATTGTCCACTGGTTTCTCATCTGCTGCCTACAAATACACCGGTATCTGCCTCACTTAACCCACCTATTTCCTATAGCTGTAATCCCATGTCTCTCCTCCTTACTGTGGTTACACTGCTTGAGAAGGCTGGTCTGTGATTGATTGCCTTCACTTCTATTCCTCCCATTCTTTTCTTTGTGGTTTGGCTTCTGATCTCATCATTCAACTGAAACTGTTCTCTCCAAAATTACCAATAATCTCTTAATTGCCCATTTAATGGCCTCAATCCTCATCTGTCTTTCTTCCCTCTCTGCAGCCTTTAATGGTGTTGATCCCCCTCTTTTCCTTGATACTCTCTTCTCTAGGTTTTTGTGATGCTGCCCTCTCCTGGTTCTCCTATCTCTCTGACCACTCCTCAGTCTCCTTTCCTGGATTTTCATCCTGGTCACACCCACTAGCTCTGTCCTGGGCCCTTTTCTCTTCTTTCTCTGTACTACTCAGGTTGGTGATCTCATGAGTTTTATGCTGATAATTCCCAGATCTACCGTCCAGTCCATCTGGTAGACATTTTATGTCCAAAATGGAACTTAATATCTTTCTCCTCAAGCCCTCCCCTCTTCCTAAATTTCCTATTAACTGTTAAGAACACCACCATCCAAGTCACCCAGGCTCATCACCTAGGGAGTCCTCATCAAGTACTCCTCACTCTCTCTCACTGCCTATATCCAATCTCTTGCCAGGTCTGTTGATTGTACATTTGTAGCATCTCTCAAATATTTCTCTTTTCTCTTCTGAGAAAAGTTACTAGTGCAGTTACTCATCACCTTGAATCTGAATTATTATAATAGCTGCTGGTGAGTCTGCCTGCCTCCAGTTTTTCCCCACTCCAGTAAGTCTTCCATTCAGCCACCAAAGTGATTTTCCTAAAGCACAGGTCTGACCATGTCACTCCCCACCCCCACCCTCCCTGCCAACTCCAACTGGATAAAATCTAGTGGCTCTCTGTTGCCTCCAAGATGAAATACAAAGTCCAGTGGCATTTAAAACCCTCCAGAAGCTACTCTGTCCTGCCCCCAAATACAGTTTTCTTATACCTTATACACCAACAGAAATAACATATAACCTCCATCCAGTTACACTGGCTTCGTAGCTGCTCATTGAACAAGACATTTCATTTCCCAACTCCAGTCATTTTCTCTGGCTGTCCCCCATTCTGGTAACACTCCCCTTCTAGATGTCTGCCTCCTGGCTTCCTTCAAATTTTAATTAAAATACCATCTTCTACAGGAAGCCTTTCCTAATTCGTGCTATTTCTAGTGCCTTCCCTCCCTAAATTATTTCCTATTTATCTTGTACATTGCTTATTTGTACAAATTTGTGGTCTGTGGCCTCCCTGGTTAAATTGCAAGTGACTTGAGAGCAGCAAGTTTCTTCTGCCTTTCTTTGTATCTCCAGACCTTAGCACAGTGCCTTGACATATAGAAAGCACTTAATAAATGCTTGTTGTTGACAGACTTACATGAAGTGAACACTAACCAGAGGTTCCCAAACTTATTTGGCCTACCATTCCCTTCACCCCCCAGGGGGCAGTATCACCCACTTTGGGAACTAAGCTGTGCTCTGAAGGAAGCTAGGAATTCTAAGAGGCTGAGTGGAGTGAGATGCAGATAGGGGACCAGTTGTCTAGAGGCAGGAGATGGCACATATCTACAGGGAAATCACAGATAGACTTATTTGACTACTGAATTTCTATGCATCCTTTAAAGCCCTATTCAATTACTGTCTTTTCTTAATCACTGTCTTTCTTAATCTCTCTACTGCCTTTAATAATATTGACTACCCTTTCTTCCTGGATCCTCTCCTGTCTTTAGGATTTTTGACATTCTTTTATTATCCTCCTCTCTGAGCAGACCTCATTTTCCTTTGCTGAATCATCATCCATACATTAGCCTCAACTATGAATGTACCCTAAGGCCCACTTTTTTTTTTAAGTGAGGCAATTGGAGTTAAGTGACTTGCCCAGGGTCCCACAGCTAGTAAGTGTCAAGTGTTTGGTCTGAGGCTAGATTTGAACTCAGGTCCTCCTGACTTCAGGCCGGTGCTCTATCCACTGCGCCACCTAGCTGACCGGCTAAAGCTCTTTCCCAGGATTCTTTCTCTTCTGTCTCTGTACTTTCTTACTTGATCGCCTTATCGGATTTCTCCCAGATCCATAGATCTTGCCGTAGTCTCACTCCTGAGCACCACATTTCAAACTGGATGCCTTGTGGGCAGGGTGGTAGAGAGTCCTTAGTGCAGCATAGATTCTGGGACTAGAGTGAGCTCCCAGGATGAAGAGGTTTCTGGAGTTCGGTAGAGAAAGTCTGGCAGTTCAAGAAGAATAAATGTTTCCCTGTAAGTGTGCTGAAAGTATGTGAAGGGGGTGGCCCTTGAGACTCTCAGTAGGGGGGAAAAATAAGACAACAGTGAAAATTTGTTCCATGTGGTGATTCACATAAGATTCACAACAAAGTAACCAGGTAAAATTAGCAGTTATATAGAACCAAATTTCAATATGTTTCTGAGAAGTATTTCAGCTAGAATTGAACTGTTCTCTAGTGCTTAGCACATTGCCTGTTCATAATACAGGGCTTCCTAATTTGGAGGGAGAGGGGATAAAAGATCATTTTGGCAGTCTAGTGAAGCCTACAGACCCTTTCTCAGGATGATGATGTTTCCAATTTATTATTTATTTATTTTTGGTGGGTTTGGTTTTTTTTTCTTAGATTTTCAGTTCCAAATTCTCTCCCACTCCTCCCCTATCCATTAAGAAGGTAAGCAATATGATTTCAATTAATTATGCCTGTGAGATCATGGAAAATATTTACACATTAGCCATATCAACAAAAAAAAAATAAAGCAAGAACATTATGCTTCAGTTTGCACTCGGAAGCCAGCAGTTCTCTCTCTGGAGGTAGATAGCATTTTTTCATCATAAGTCCCTTGGAATTTTCTTTGATCACTGTATTAATCAGAATAGCCAAGTCTTTCACAGTTAATCATTACTGCGATATTGCTGTTACTGTGCACAATAATCTGCCAGTTCTTCTCACTTCACTTAGCATCAGTTCACATAGGTCTTACCATGTTTTTCTGAAACAACCCCTCTCATCATTTCTTATAGTACTGGATCACAATCATATGCTACAACTCATTCAGTCATTCCCCAGTTGATAAGCATCTTCTCAGTTTCCAATTCATTGACAACACAAAAAGAGCTACTATAAATGTTTTTGTACATATGGGTCCTTTTCCTTTTTCTTTGCTCTCTTTGGGATACAGACCTAGTAGAGTATTGCTGCGCCAAAGGGTATGCAGTTTTGCAGCCCTTTGGGCATAGTTCCAAATTGTTCTCCAAAGTGGTTGGACCAGTTCACAGTTTTACCAAGAGTTTATTAGTGTACCTATTTTTCTTCATCTCTTTCAGCATTTGTCATTTCTGATAGGTGTAGGGTGGAACCTCAGAATTTTAATTTGCACTTCTGTAATCACTGGTGTTTTAGAGCATTTTTCCATATGAGTATAGATAGCTTTGATTTCTTCTTCTGAAAACTTCCTGTTCATATCCTTTGACCATTTATCATTTGGGGAAAGCTCTTATTTTAGTCTCGTGATGGAAAATGCTGTCCACATCCAGAGAAAGAACTATGGAGTTTGAAGCAGATCGAAGCATACTATTTGCTCTTTTTTTTCCCTTCTGTTTTGTTTTGTTTCTTTTTTGTGGTTCCACATTATGACTAATGTGAAAATATGTTTAATAGGAATGTACATGTAGAGCTTACATCAGATTTCATGCTGTCTTGGGAAGGGGGGGGAGAAAATTTAAAACTCAAAAGCTTTTGGAGTGATTGTTCAAAATTAAAAATAAAGAAAAAAAGAAAAGCTCTTATTTTTATAAATTTGACTCAGTTCTCTATATATTTGAGAAATTAGGCCTTTATCAGAGAAATTTGCTGTTAAAGTTTTTGATATTACTTCGTTGTCTATGGTACCTTCTAACAAAATGAAGTTTCCTTGATTATCTCTTTTAGTTAGGTCTGTTTTTGGCTTTTATTTTGTCTGAGATCATGATTGCTACCCTTGTCCTTTTGACTTCAGCTGAAGCATAATAAATTCTGCTCCAACCCTTTATTTTCACTCTGTGTGTATCTTTCTGTTTCAAGTGTGTCTCTTGTAAACACCATATTGTTGAGTTCTGATTTCTAATCCATACTGCTGTCTGCTTTTTTTTTTGTGAGCTCATCCCATTCACATTCACGGTTATGATTGCTGTGTATTTCCGTATCCTGTTTTCTTCAGTTTATCCTTTTCTCTCTCTTTTTATCCTGTCCCTCTTCAAAAGTTTGTTTTGCTTCTGACCGCTAACTCCCTTAATCTGCCCTCCCTTTTATCCCTTTTTCCCTGTTGGGTAAGAAATTTCTATGCCTAATTGAAAGAGAGAGAGAGAGAGAGTGTGTGTGTGTGTGTGTGTGTGTGTGTGTGTGTGTGTGTGTGTGTGTGTGTATTCTGATGAGCATTGCCTGTCACCACCACCCCCATTGCCTCTCCACCATAAAGGCTGTTTACAATCTCTTTTATGTGTGAAAATTTTCCCCATTCTGTTCTCCCTTCCCCTTTTCTCAGTGCATCCCTTTTTCTCACCCCTTCTTTTCTTTCTTTTTTTTTTGAGATGATGCTAGGTTGATATCTTATACCCATGCCCTCTGTCTATGTAAACTCCTTTTAACTGCCTCGATAATGATAAAGTTCTTTAGTTACATGTATCATCTTCCCAGATAGGAATGTAAGCAGTTGAACTTTATTGAGTCCCTTATGATTACCTTTTTATGCTTCTCGTGAGTCTTGTGTTTGAATGTCAGATTTTTTGTTTAGCACTGGTCTTTGCCTGTGGAATGCTTGAAAGTCCTTGTTTCATTGAATGCCCATTTTTTCCTGAAGTATTATACCCAGCTGGGTAGATGATTCTTGGCTGTAGTCCTAGCTCGTTTGCCTTCCAGAATATCATATTCCAAGCCCTCCTATCCTTTAATGTAGAAGCTGCTAAATCTTAGGTGAGACTGACTGTGGCTCCACAATGTTTGAATTGTTTCTTTCTGGCTGGGATTTCACTGTAATATTCCTGGGAGTTTTCCTTTTGGGATCTCTTTTAGGTAGTAATCACTGGATTCTTTCAGTTTGTTTCACCCTTTTGTTCCAAATATCAGGGCAGTTTTCCGTTATGATGTCTAGGTTCTTTGTTTTATCATGGCTTTCAGGTGTCCAATTAATTTTTAAATTACCTCTCAATCTCTTTTCCAAGTTAGTCACTTTTCCAATGAGATATTTCACATTTATTTTTTCATTCTTTTGACTTTGTTTTATTGTTTCTTGATGTCTCACAGAGTCATCAACTTTCACTTTCCCAATTCTAATTTTTAAGGAATTCTTTCCTTCTGTTAGCTTTATATCTTTTTTTGTTTGGCCTGTTCTACTTTTTAAGGAGTTCTTTTCTTCAGTATTTTTTTGTGACTGTTTTACCAATCTGTTAGTTCTCTTTTCATGTTTTTCTTGTATCACTCATTTCTTTTCCCACTTTTTATTCTACCACTCATCTCTTTCTTTAACTCTTCCAGGAATTCTTGTTGGGCTTAGGTCCAATTAGCATTTTTCTATGAAGCTTTGGTTGTAGCTGTTTTCACATTAATGGCTCCTTAGTTTATGTCTTGGTCTTCCCTGCCACTGAAGTAGTTTGGGGTTTTTGTTGTTTGTTGTTTTGGGTTGGTTGTTTTTTTTAATGGTCAAGTTGTTATTGTTTGCTTGTTTTTCCAGCCTGTTTCTTGACTTTGAACTTTATATTAAAGTTAGGCTCTGCTCACCTGAGTATGGGGAGCTTAAGGCCTTTTCACGCAGCTGTTTTCAATGCTTTTAAGGTTGTGTGATCCAGGCAGAGGTATGCTCATTGATCTTGTGGTGTGCCCTTTGGTATTTACCCAGGAAGGGTCCCTGCTGCCCTGCGGTCACAAGCACTAGTGTTCTTCTTTGCTTTGGAACTGTGACCAGGGCCCTGCTCCCTTGTGACAGCTCACTAGTGCTCCACCCTGAAACTGTGACCCAGAACTTCATGTAGTCAAGCTTCTTGCAGAAGGTCGTATTTTGGGGCAGCCAGGTGGCTCAATAGATGGAGTATCAGTCCTGGAGTCAGGAGGACCTGAGTTCAAATTAGGCCTCATACAGTTGACACTAGCTGTGTGACCCTGGGCAAGTCACTTAACCCCAACTGCCTTGGTGTGGCCTGCCCCTCTTCCTCCCTCCCCCAAAAAAGGCAGGGTAATATTTGGGTAGTATTTTAATGGAGACTTGAAGGAAGCCAGGAGGACAAGGCATAAAGGGAGAACATTCCTAAGCATGGAGGAGACAGCTAGTGAAAATGCATGAGATTGAGTATCTTTTGTGAGGAACAGTAAGGAAACCAAAGTCAGTGCATCATAGAGTATGAAGAGGGAAGTTAAATGTAAGAAGACTGGAAAGGGGGGAAGGAGCCAAAAGCCAAACCAGATTTCATATTTGATCCTGTAGTCAATAAAGAGCCTTTGGAATTTACTGAATAGAGGAGTGACATGGTCGGACCTGTGCTTTGGGAAGATCTGTTGGACCCCAAAAAGGGGTCACAAACAGCCAGACTTGACTGAAATGACTAAACAACAAAGGGGCAAGGGGAAAGCAGACACGTTAACAAATGCTGTGGTGGTGAAGCTGGGAGTTGGTCTGGCCACTCTGGAAAGCAATTTGGTATTATGCTCAAAAAGCTATTAAACTTCGTGTACTCTTTACTACTAGCTCTATACTCCCAAAGAGATCAGAGAAAGGAAAAGGACAGGACCCATATATGCAAAAATATTAAGAGCAGCTTTCCCTTTTTTTTTTCTTTTCAGTGAAAACATTGGAGATTTAGGGGGTGAACAGCAATTGGGGAATTGCTGAACAAGTTATGGTATGGGAGTGTAATGGGATACTATCATGCTGTAAGAAATGATTAAGGGAATGATTTCAGAGAAACTTGGGAGACTTTTGTGAACTGATAAAGAGTGAAGTCAGCGGGAGCAGGAGAACAGTTTTTATTGTTTTCAATACAATATTACAAAGACAGATAACTTTGAAAGACTTAGGAACTCTGTAATCAAGGCACTGCCCAATCACCATTGTGGAGGACTCAGGAAGAAGCATATGCAGTACACTTCCATCTAGAAATATGATGGGCTCAGGAGCGCAGATTGAGACAAAGTTTTTTGCTCAATCTGTGTATAATGTGTTTTATTTTTTATTCTTTTTCTATTGGGGAGGGAGAGTCGATGGAAGGAAGAAAAGGCATGTTTTCAGTAATTAAAAAATAAGTTTAAGTTTAAAAAATGAAGGAGTTAAACTACATTATCTTTAAGGTCCCTTTTGTCTCCAAAATACTATGATTTATATGAAATATGAGAATTATTAAATCCACTTCTCATTAAATTTCTCTTCTAATATAAATAATAGCATTCAAAAAGACTCTTATTATTAAAGGGCTAGCATTTGCTTAAATGAATGCCCCTCTTTTTAGGAACGCACACAGGGCCTGTTTGTCATTTGAATTGGATGATGGTAGGACTGTCTCTCATTTCTAAATACACTGGATGAAAGGGAATCCCTTTTGATGATATTCAGGTAAAAATTCACTGGCATAGCTTTAGAAGTTAGATACATAGCAGTCTTTTGGGTGTCCTGATCTGCAAGTGGAAAGCTCTTTTTTTTTTGCCTTTGGAGAATAAAGTATTCACCTGGATGAATCAAAAAAAGGTTAGACAAAGTATTTGAAATTTTTGTGAGCTTTATACAAAAATATTTTCTATGTAGTGGGTGTGGTTGTGGAACAGTAGAGGAATAAGGGCTGTGATTTCTTCGGGGGGGGGGGATGTGGTTCTCCTATTTGTAGGTATTATCCAAGCTAATATCAAGACCCATTACAGATTTAGGCTTGGTCCATTGAGGCTCGGTGTTAGGACACTAGCATTCAAAAAATATCGTGAAGTCCCCTTTTGATCCAGTAACTTTTTACCAACCCAGCTTTTGTGCATTGTAGCTAAGATTTTTGCTATAAATTTTATGTATCATCATAATCATCGTTTTCACCACCCGTCATTAATCATCCTGCTCATTATCACTATCAGCATCACTGAGAAGGTGGCAGTGATGTTGTAGAAAGAGAGTTACAGGGAAAGACCTGGGTTCTAATTCCAGTTTGTCTACTGACTACCTTGTTGACATTTCATTTCCACTTTCTGGGCCTGAGTTTCACACTTACCCCTTCTTCCCCTCTAATCTGTAAAAGAAGAAGATTAGACTAAATGACCAGAACCTGTTGGTCCTATAGTGGATAAAGCAATGAGTCTGGAGTCAGGAAGACCTGAGTTCAAATGCTACCTCAGACACTTAACTATGTGACCGTGAGCAAGTCTTCTTAACCTCTGTTTCAGTTTCCTCAACTGTAAATTAGAGATAGTAATCATACCTACTTTGCTGGGTTGTTGTAAAAATCAAATGAGATTATGTGTAAAAAGCACTTAGCACAGTGCTTGGCACTGTGCACACAGAAGTACTGTATAAATACTTATTTCCTTCCCTTCCTTTTTAATGTTCCTTGCAACTCTAAAACCTATGATCATATGATTTTTCTTTTTATGACTGATTGTGATCAACTTAGTGGGAAGTAAGAAAGGATTTTGATGTAGGATATAGTAAGATTAATTTCATTGAGACACACTTTTAATGGGCCCTCAGCTATACCAGTTTCTATACTGCCTATAGACCTGTAACGTGTGTCAGTATCACTTGCACATGTAAACCAGAAACCAGGCTCCTTGTTTTGGACTGCCTTTAAATTGTCTTCAGAGAAGTGAGGAAGCAGAGTGGTGTTTCAGAAGTGGTTTTTGTTTTTTTTCTTCTTCTTCATGTGGAACACCGGAAAATAGTCTTTTTCAGAAAATGGACACACTTTAAAGAGAACCTTTTCTCCGGGTTTATTTAGATTAAACGTATTCAATTCTGGACAGCAAACATTTAAGTACCAACTATGTGCAAGGTACTATGCAAGCGAATCTAGCCAAAAAAACAAACCAACCTTAATATATTCCAGTAATGACTAGTAGATTTGTTCAGTAGAAATTTCTCTGTTAAGATTGGGAGGCCTTGTTTTTCTGGCACTGAATCCAACATGGATAGTAAACATTCACAGGCTATTATTGTATTGATAGATTTTAGTGACCTTTAAATGAGGAGTATTTTTAGTTTGGAGACGCCACCAGGTGATGACTTTGAGTACTACATCTGCTTTAAAGGTATGCGGAGTTCTAAAAATGAAAAGGCAAATAACTTGTGTTTTGGATTGATTACTTCACCCCAGGAATGGAACCCAGTGTTCACCTAGAAGTCTGGAGATTTACTTGGAAACTCTTACAAGTGTTTTGGTTTTGGCATGGAATGATAAGTGTGTATCCAGAACAAATTGTTCTTTCTGGCAGACTTGCTTTCTCAGTGACATAGTTTGGTTTCTTCTCCAGTCACATTGTTACATCAGCCTTGCCTGCTTGGCACCTGGGTCATCACCTATAAATTGTTTACACCTTCTGTCCTGAGCGTCCTTTTAACATCAATAATGATGCTTTTTGGCAGGTGGGAAGTATGGGGGGGGTTGTGTTTTTCGGTGGTGGTGGTTTGTTGTTTTTGTTATTGTTAAGAAAGTCAACTACCAGCAAATTTATATTCACTTCCAAACTAGAGTCAGGATTTCACCCAGGACATAAGGAATGGGGAAGGCTATGAGAGATCTGACTGCTGCCCAGAACTGAGTTCAGTCTTCTCTGGTTCTGTGTTCCATAAACTTACCGACTGCTGTTTGTTGTTGTTGTTGTTGTTGTTTTTCCTTTCTCTCATTGACTAGAAAGAAAATGGCTGCCTCTTCATCTTCCTCCTCAGCTGGAGGGGTCAGCGGAAGTTCTGTAACTGGACCTGGCTTTAGTGTCTCAGACCTTGCCCCACCACGGAAAGCCCTTTTCACCTACCCCAAAGGAGCTGGAGAAATGTTAGAAGGTGATCATACTCTGCTTTTTGCTGAATAATTGGATTCCAGTCTATAATTAATGTTGATAAAGTGGTAAATGATCTGTTAAAAGGAATGTAGAGAGACGTATACCAGCCTCAGAACAAACTATCCGCTTTTTCAGGTTCCCTGTTTCACCCCTAACATCCAGGGAACATCTGTCCCAGAGCATGAAAACTCTTTGACCTCTGGTTAGCAAGTTGGATGATTTTTTAGCTTACCAAACTAAAGAAAAATAAACCCCATTACCTAGAAAGTGAAAATAATCTTAATATAGACTTAACTCTCTCTATATATATACATATATATAAACTTAATTTTAAAATAGACTTAAGTGTAAAGTTGGCAATACTAACCCCACTGCCAGGGCATGTGCTTTGAGTTTCTCCAGTGGTAGAGATGGATTTGCATTGAACCATCCTCACTCTCTCATTCAGACCTCCTTGTGACCAACAACAGACATTTGCAAAACAGCTGGCCAAGGTTAGGGATGCAGTCTGTGGCCATGGAAAAGAGCAAAGGTAACTGGACATATGGGAAAACCAACCCTGGACCTCAGCCTCTTCAGCATAATACAGTAACCAACTGAGCTAATCCCTTGGGGGTATGGGAACCCTTCGGATCACCACTAATCTCTTTCTTGATTAGCCCTTTATCTCTTTATTTCTAGTGTCACCGGTGAACCTGGGCCCTCAGTAGAGCCTTGGCAGGGTTAGGATGTACGAGAGGCAGGCTTTGTAGTCTGTAAAAAGAGGGCTTGACTTGGAATCAGAAGACATCAATTCCCTTTCTGATTCTGCTACTTAATATCTGTGCAGCTAGTCAATTTACCTTTCTTGTCACATTCTCCCCATCTGTAAAATGGGGATAATTGTACTTGGCCCTTAGCTATATCACACAGTTAGTATGAGAAAAATACTTTGTAAATGTTAAAGCACAATGTAAACAAATATGAAGGGTTTTTATTTGGCTCGAAGTTGTTCTCTCCCTTCCCTACCCCTCCCCAAAGCAGTTCATCTTACTTTTGGGTATTACAGTCTTCAGTATTCACATTTATAAATTTATCTGGAAATTTCTGTTTGCTTACACACATGAGAAAGGTGAAATCTGCCGCTTGAGGAATCTGCTTGTGGAATCAGTGCTTTTAACCTGGGGAAGCAGAGAGGTAATTTGTGAAAGAAAAATGCAGGAGGGTTAACTATGAAGCCCGTGAAGACTTCTAGACTTGGTTTGTATTATTAATACAGTGGATAACTTAGCAGTATAGTCAAGTGAACAAACATTTATTAAGCTCCTATTATGTGCCAGGCACTGCTGAGTTCTGAAAATACAAAGAATGGCAAAAACACAGTACCTGCTTTCAAAGACAGTCTAATGCAGGGGAGACAACATGCAAAAACAATTTACAGACAGGACATATTCAGGATAATGAACTGAGGGAAGGTACTAGAATTAGGAGGATTAGGGAAAGTAGAAGGTGGGGCTTTAGCTGGAACCTCCAGAGGGGGAGACATAGTTGAGGAAGGAGAAAATTTCAGGCATGAGGAACAGCCAGTGAAAATGCCCAGGGTGAGGAGATGGAGACTAGCCACGAGGCTGGTTCTCAAGAGTGTGGATGGGGGTAGTAAGCCTGGAAAGTGGGAAGGAGCCAGGTTATGAAGGTCTCTAAATGTCAGACAGAGCAGTTTATATTTGTCCTGGAGTGTAATTAATAACAGTTCTGACGTGGGCTTCTGTCCTCCTAATCTTATAGAAATCTGAAGCTAGGAACAGTGCTGAGTAGTAGGATGCATGTGTTAGCATCATTGACCCTGTAGGCTGCTTGTCGCTAGTGTTCTGTTTGTTAAACACAGAACCCATATGGTAGGATGAGTTATATGGAATGGAGTAATTTGGCCTCAAACCAGATTAAAAAGTTAATTGCTTGGTAGTTTCCACATAGGCCTAAGAGACTCCATTTAGACTTAGAAATAAGTTGAATTGGCAGCATTTTATTCTAGCTACAGAAGAGGAAAAAAACCCTCTACTTTTAATATAGACAATATCTCCATGTCCTTAAGATCATTAGCATCACTTTTCAGTGTATACCAGATTACCCTTAAATATTAGCAAGAAGAAAGAAAGCCCTCTGAGTTGAGTCTAAACGTTGATGCTTTTCTAAGTTATGGTTTCATCAGTTCCTCTCCCATCCCATTACACTTTATGAAAAGGTGTGGTTGTTTTCTAATATAAATTTGTGAGTCTCAAAATTTAAGTAAACTAACTCCAGTAAGTTTCCATTCAGTGTATTACTAGTGCATTTTCTTAGTTGTAAAACTTCACCACAATCTGGAAAATGTTACTAAACGTTTTAGAGAGCAAGCTGTCAGAAATAATTTGAAGATGGTTACTCCCTAACCATTTTTGCCAGTTTGAGCACCTTAAGCACAAATGTTAGAGGAATTATGGGAAACAGGCACATTAATGAACTTTTGGTGGAGCTGTGAATTAGCAGAACCCTTCTTGAAAGGAGTTTGGAACTGTGCCCAAATGTGAATGCGTAGTGTGTACATACCCTTTGACCTAGCAATACCACTACTAGACTGATACCCCAAAGACATCAAAGAAAGCTAAAACGGACCCACACGTACAAAAGTGTTCTTAGCAGCTCTTTTTTGTAGTGGCAAAGAACTGGAAACTCAGGGAATACCCATCATTTGGGAGAATTACTAAATAATTATGACATATTAATATAATGGAATACTATTATGTTGTAAAAATGATAGGGACAGTTTCAGAGAAACCCAGGAATGTTATGCAGAGTAAGTGAAGTGATCAGAAACAGAAGAACAGTTTACACCATAACAACATTATAAAGACTAACAACTTTGAAAGATTTAAGAACTCTGACTGCAAAGGACACTCAAATGAAACATGGCAACTCCCCTCCTGACAGGTGATAGACTCAGGCATTTTTTGGAAATGGATAATATGGGGATTTGTTTTGCTTAACTCTTTGTTAGAGTTTTGCTTTTCTGCTTTTCTCCTTTTCAGTGGTGATGGGGGGAGAACAGAAAATAATTTTTGTGAATTGAAAAAACAATTGAGAGCATTAGAATGAAGACAGCACCTATATTAATAGGAGCTAATAAGGACGCTCACTTTGTGAGAATCTCCTCCCATGTTTCTTTCATTTAGCTTTTAAAATAACTAAGTAAAATTCAGTCTTCATCTAGTCATCAATGGATTTTTTCTTTAATGTCATAGAATGTATGAATGAGATTTGTCTGCCTCTTGAATAAAAGTGGTCAAGGGCTGATGTCACAAGTATAGGTTAAAATCCCAATAGAGTCATACAGTGAATGGTTAGAAATTAGGACAGGCTTTGGGAATCTTCTCATCCAGCACCTTCATTTTGAAGATAAGGAAACAGGCCTGGGAGGGAAGTGATTTGGCCAAGCTCAACCGGTGACTTAGTGACAGAATGAGGACTAGAACCCAGATATCTTGATTCCACATTCAGTTTACCTTCCACAAAGCAACTGTGCCTTCCCAGGTTCCTTTGAAGTCTTTATCTTCCATAAGATAAACCAAATATCTTGCAGTTTGTTCTGTGAGAAAACTTCCTGCTAAGATACCCTTACCTGCTGTCTGACTTCTGAAGCCTCACATAAAGCGTACAGGTGTAGTCTCTCCAGTGCCCTAAACTCTTAATTCTTCCTGGCCCTTTTATATGGTGAGCTAGTAAGGAAGTACTTCCTAAAGCCCACAAGTGGCCGCTTTTTTATAACACTGTAGAACCTTGTATCATTGTTAGTCATTGTTTAACTTCCTATTACCAGATGGTACTCTTTTAAATCAGTTTATGAGCAATCTCTTAGAATTAGCTGAGGTTTTTCCCTATTTTATAGCCTTTCCTGTTCCCTTAAGAGAAAAACTAATTTACCTCTACTTGGTACGTTATATGGGAATTTGATTGCAATTTCTAAATCGAAGCTAGAGAATTATAGGCTTGCTCCTCTCTGGAGAAATTCCAGACTTAAGTTGATATAATCATTATATCTAATGGGATGTGGGGATGTAGTGATGGACTTTGTGGTTAATACTGAGTTGCAGATCTCAGCCAATCTGATTGATGCATCAGAGGATGAAGGGATAGCAGTGGTAGGAATAGAATTGCTATGCTGCTTTTTGGAGGATTGTTTTAACTTTTAAGTTCATTATCATAAAAGACCTATAAATAACTGCAGTACTTTATTCAAATAACCTGAGTAATTCAACAGAAATAAGAATAGGAGCTACTACCCTCTTTTTGGACCTGTATCCTGTGTATCCCTCTTGACTCAAGTGGGATTCTGATACATAGGACCAGGTCCTCCAGGACAGTCTCCCTGATTCCCGTTGCTTAGCTCTTTGTAAAATAAAACTTTTACAGATATAATTGGATAGTTTAAACAAGGGTGTGTGTAGGATAATAAATGCTAAATCATCATTTACACAGAGGAGCTAAAATAATAAATTTCACCATTAATGTCAGATAATCACTACAGTCCATCTGTGGTTTGAAGTATAGTTAATTTGCATCTCACATTTAGCATTTCTTGGGTTCAGTTAGTCAGAAGACTCTAATAGAAGTCTCTGTATCCCTAGCACTTCCCACATAGTAGGCACTTAATAAATGCTTGTTGATTCATTGTAGTTTATGAGTAGCCTGCATACAGTCAAAAGAATAGAACATTAGTGGTGTTTGAGTCAGTTTAACAAGCATGTATTGCCTTTTGTGTGCAGGGCACTGCTCAGTGCTGAGGATGAAATGAAAAGGGGGCTCAGTCTGTTGCACGGTATGCAGGGAAGAGGTTGCCTTTAACACACACACTTCATAATTTTCCAATTCAACAATTCTTTTACACTCTTCCATTGTGTAGTCAAACTATGTTATGTGCTGTATACTGATTTCTTTATTGTTACCTTGACTTATTTTAATAAGGTAAAAATGATATATGGAACAGTGAATTAGCCCCATCTCTTTGTCATGTAATACCAGGTTGATATAACAGCATAAGATTGATCTGTCATTGAGTTTGTGACCCAGGGATGCCATCATGATTGGCCATCTAATGAACCACACCTGAGACCCCCCACCCTCGCACACCTTAGGATTTTGCAATAAGACAGCTGTAGCAAATGCTTTCAGCTCTCCTGGGGAGGAAGGGGGTATCATATTCTACTTCATATATATATATATACATATATATATATACATACATACACAAACACAAACACACACACACACACACACACACACACACACACACACAATGTTTGGGTTGTATTCTTTGACAGCCCCTGCAAGGTAATAAGAAACACATGTTCATACCAGGTTCATAATCAATTTCCAAGTCCTACATCATAGCAGGGCCAGTTTCTGTGCTGACTTCATGACAGAGTCAGCCACCACATTGTGTGTTGTTTCTTGGGATTGGCGTGGGGCTAGTTTCAGAAATTGCACCATAACTCTTATCTCCATCAAAATTGTCATGATTTGGTTTGTTTGGAAAATCAAGGTCACAGTCTGCATTTAAAGGATAAAATTACCCAACAGTTGTTGTGATGGTCAGAGGGATGGATAGTAGTGTCATCTCAGAGATCAACAACAGCTGTTTTTTCAGCTTTATTTTTCTTAGAATGAAAAGAAATTGAACTTAAGATACGATCTCTGTGCTCTTTGTGTCTCACGAAGCTTTACAGGGCAATGGGATGGAGATATCTTGATGGTCCATTAGTCACTTCAATGCCCTTTAGAGCAAATCATATACAGAAAAGGTAAAATGAAAGAATCTATTCAACTGTGAGGGGAAGCGGTTGACCAGGGCATCAGGATAGGGTTATTTGCTTTTGCTTTTTTAAGAAATGTTTTTTAAGACTGACCAAAGGTGAAGAAATTGAAAAATGTAGAAGCTCCAGAAAGACATATAGAAATTAGCTCTGGAATAGAAAACCATGAACAGATCAGCATTTACTCAGTTTGTCAAGAACTGTAAAAGTCTTGGGGGGCAGATAAAAGTGTCTTCTTTTCCTGTTCACAGACGGCTCAGAGAGATTCCTTTGTGAGTCTGTTTTCAGCTATCAAGTGGCATCTACACTTAAACAGGTGAAACATGGTGAGTGTCGCATGCTTGACTGTGTGAGGGTAAATCGGCTGTGGGGGCCAGGGAGAACCCCAGAGGTCAGGCCACTCTGACACAAGTCGCCAAAAGCCAAGAATGCTATTTAAACGGATTTCTTCCATTACCAGTCAGCGAGGACATTCTGAGGTCTTGATCCAAACATAATGAATGCCCAAAGCTAAAGTTGAAGTAATCATATTTTCTTAGGGCCCTGGTGTAGTCTGTACCTTTGGGGGGTCTTTTGTTCCATTCGTTTCCATGCTCTTCCATCTGTGGAATACTGATTTAATTATCATAATATTGATTACCATTTACTGAGACCCTATGGTGTAGAAAGCCAGAGATGCTAGTCATTTAAGTCCTGGTCACTTCCTTTATGTTTCTGTATATAGATGGTTATTGATCTTTATCTGAGTGTCACATTACTCGCAGTAAACATCATCCTCATTATGATACTTCTCCCCCTACCTCTCATCCCCAGGCTGGTTCTCCACCAAGAGCATTAGATTTGGGCTCCCGGTACCTCTGACATTAGGCTTGTAGCATTCAAAGCAGTATGGGACAGGGAAAGGATTAGAAGGGTTCCTTTTCTAACAGATGGGCTATAAATGATGACTTTTGAAGAGAAAGCTCATCATTGTTGTTGCTGTCACATGTATGAATCTAATGTGTTATCATGGGTATACGTAGAGCCTGGGCCAGTTAGACTGGCTCCCTGACCCTCCCAGCCCGAGTTCTGAACATATTATGCCTCAAAGGGATGAAATAGGACTGATACATGAAAAAGAAATATGTGTTGTACCTTTCTAGGCCTTCTGACTTGTAGCATACTAACAAAATCGAAATTGGAGGAACAACTGGTGGTTCTGTTGTCATGAAAGTTGTTGTTTTGTTTGCTAGGAAGCATCGGTTGTACAAATTAAAACTTTGTAAGATGTCAAACCAGCACAAAGTAAAGCTGCTTTTTAATGACTAGAATAAGACTGCCTGAAAATTGTTTATTGATTTTATTAATGAGCATCTCCATGGCTGTTGAGTATTTAGTGTAAGATATATTGCCGTGCCACAGCTTACTCTTCAATTCCTTCCAGATCAGCAAGTTGCTCGGATGGAGAAGCTGGCTGGCTTGGTGGAAGAGCTCGAGGCAGATGAATGGCGGTACAAACCCATTGAACAGCTGCTGGGCTTTACCCCCTCCTCAGGCTGACAATGTTGGGATTACCTCTGGAGCACAAGCAGGGGCATGACTGGGGAGGGTCTTTTCTGCACAGCATCTGGGATCCAGGGAGTCAGAGCTGCATATGAAATGGTTTGCTCACATTCACACTTGGTGCCTCTGTAATAAACTACATTCCATGTAAGCTAGAATGCCTGTGGGGGGAAAAACCACTACAGCTTAACTAGGTTATCTGACAGGGGAGCATTTTTCTTCCCTAAGAACCCACTGGAGATTGGGTTAAGTGAGACAGTCAGTTTCAGAGAATTGGAAGGTTTCCATTTGGGGTTTGAGGGGTTTTTGGGAAACTTCACTTAACAAGCAGTGAATGTGCCCAAAGTGGTCCACTTGAGAAGAGTCCACCCAGTCAGTCATTCTGGGCCTAGAGCACCTCACCAAGTCATGGTCAAGATAAAGAGGTAGGAAAGATAGCAATTCCTTTTGAAGATGAATGGGATTATAATCAGGACAGGTCCAAATGAAGAACAGAAAAAAAAATGTTAGCTGTATTTTCTGTCATTAGATACCACAGCACTGTTGAGTCCAGCTTTGTGACATGACCTTGTTGACTGCATGCTGAATGCTTGGAAAGGGACTTGGCATTTTCATGTTGGCACAGTATAGAAGTGAAACAGCAGGAACCTTTTAAACCCAGAAATCCAGGGCCCTTCTCAGTGCTGGACTCAAGCTGTTCTGTGGCAAAGAAATCCTTTCAAAGAGCTTCAAATTGGTTTCTTTATCCTTTCAAAGTCTCAGGGATTTGCGAAGGGGGAGGTGGTTAAATTGCTTTGTTGTGAATAAGGAAACAAAACCATTTCTCATAAGCAAATGGTGGCATGTTTCACTTTGCATCAGATGGATTCACCAGAGCATGAATTAGTTTCTTCTCCATTGGTAAGGAAAGCCTGAAAATGAACAGCTAGTCCTTCTGCTATCCCTCCTGAGGTCCCAGAGTTGTAAACATCATTATTGGACCGTGTGCACATTTTGCCTTTTAGAAAACATCTTGGTCGTTTTGGGTTGGGCTATTTGTTTTGTTTTGTTTTTTAATGATTTCCAATTGACCTTCTTAGACCAGATTAATAAATAAGTAAAATCCTGGTACTGATTGTCTTTGATTTCATGAGTTCTGAATGCTTAACAGATATTACCTGGTGCTTGGTGTTACCCTGTTTAGTAAGTGTGTAGCTGAGGACTGTACAATTAGAGCCCTGCTCACGGTCACATAGCTCAGTCAGTAGAGGACCTTGGAATCTGACCACAAGTTGCTCTTTAACTCAAACCACAGTTCTAGCCATGAAACCAAACCAAAACTCACGAGTGCCAGACAGCAGACAAACCTGCCTCCATGTTTGGTTTTCTCAACTAAAAGTAAACAAGGTTCATATTTAGAAAGCAATTGAGTTTCTAAATAGATTTTACATGTTAACATCAAAACTTCTAATAACTACCAAGGAAAATTTTTCTAAGAGCTTAGCTAATTTTCTAAGAGACTGTAAACATTTTCAGTTTTTCCAATGAAAGTACTTCACATCTTTTCCCTTTTTATTTCGTTTGTAACTTTATACCAAGTTGCCAAATGAACTTACGCAGCCAGCGTCTTACGTATTTAGGCTTGATGTGATGATTTTTCTTTTTATCATAGAAACATAGAGTTAAGAAGGCCTGTAGAAGTTCCGGAGTCTGGCCTCTAGGGAGAGCATCTCTGATAGACAGCCATCCAACTTCTGCTAAATCATAGGAAGGTTGTGGCGCTTCCTGCGTGATAGCTTTCAGGAATCATTATTAGTGAAATGGCCAAAGGCCCGACACGATATCTGTAGGGTGGAATTCATACTGTTAACCCCAGGAAAAGCAGTTCAGATTCCCTAATGAAAAGAAATCAAGATCAAGACTTTGAAATACTGCTTCACACCCAAACAGCAAAACACTGACACATCTTCAGGGACATTCCTGGACTGGGGACTGCTAGGGATTTTTTGAAAAGCTCTTTAATAGCTTTAAACTGCACCAAGACTTTTGGGACACCTTGGATAAATCATGGAGTCAGTTGCACCCTTTGACCCAAAGACAGCTGGAAAGGGAGGCAGGGAGCCTATGAATACAAAAATGGCTTATCAATATACAAAGATAGAGCTGGTTTTTAATAAGCAGTTTTTGTAACCAACAGTAGGAATGGTTGAATAAAGGGTATTAATATGAGGTGCTGTGATGCGTAAGCAAGAAGAGTACAAGTAAATTTATGAAGTGATAGAAATGGAAGTCAGCGGAGTAAGTAGCTAATGACTACAATTGTAGAGAAGTACATAGATTTGGAATAGGACAGAAAATGGCTTGGTTTGCTAAAATGTTATTAGATTTTTTTTTTATTTGGTCAAAATACTTCATATTTGGGATTTTTTCCTGGTGATTTGCCCTCACATTTGGTTAGGTTCTGGTTTATTGGTGTTTTCTACAAATACTAAATAACAAATAACATGTTCACATATGTCTACATAACCCACCAATTTCAGAGAGAGGAGTCAGTTTTGTCGTCCTGTCTTCCTGGCTCCAGCACTGTAAAAGAACGCTCTCTTCCTTTGATCTGAATTAATGGCATATCAGTTTTGTTTTTAAGATTAACAATAGCAATGCCTTAAAGCTTATATTACTCTTAACAGAGTATGCTTACATGCGAGTATTCTCTCCAGTTCCTCTCTAGGAAAGAGTCCCAGAGAAGTAGAAAAAATGCATTTCAGTTGAAGCATTTATTAAGTACCTGTGGTGTGCTAGGTTCTAGAGGTACAGAGGTTAAAAATGAGGTAATACCTGCCCATATGGACTTTACTGTAGTTGACTGGAAATGAAAGGTGTATAATGTGTACTCTAAGAAGCGTCATACCAGTAAGAAAAGGCAACAGGAAAAAGAAGCAAAGGACAAGGAAATCACCCATGGGGGGAGGGGTAGCATCTGCGTTGGGACTTCAAACATTTATTAAGCACCTACTGTGTTCAGTGCTGATATCGCTAAGCACTAGAGCTCCAAAGACAAAACTGAAATCATCTTTGCCCTCAAACTACATAGGGGGTGGGGGGATGGGAAGACACAGAAGTAAATTTAACCCCTGTGCAAAATAATGCAAAGTAATATTGAAACAGCCTCAGCAAAGTGGGGGGTGGGGAGGAGGGGAGTGGCTTGATGTTCAAGAAGGACTGAGGATTTCTAGAGTCAGGGGTGAGTAATGGTAAGGGCTGTCAAATGGAGCTCCTAGTAAGTACCAGTGTGAGGTTCTGAACTCAAGCTCAATGGTATTTTCCATTATTATTTTCAATGAGTCTGTTTGTAAAAATGTCGAACTAAATAAATTTGGGAGGGGACCTGGGAAACATCTAAACAAGAGGAAGAATTCAGAGACAGGCCACAGATACTAATAACCAGCATTGAGCTGTCCTAATGATCCTACTAAGCTAAGCATTTATAGTTTGCTGTCATAACCACATTAAACGTAGAACAAAGTTAATCTGACATGTCAATTATCTATATATGTGTGTATACACACGTGTGTGTATGTAATTGCTAATTGTGTTTCGTGGTAATTAGGCACAAATGGAAATAGTAAGCAGTTCACAAAAATGACTGTAATTAGCATTACCATCAGACAGCCAAAACAGATCTCTGGTTTTCCTCTAACTTTGTTCTCTAGGGTATTACAATCAGTCTCATTTCACAATTTACCCTGATACTATGTGCCACTGAATCATTGAGCAGCCCTGTAATGGAGAAGGCCTTGAACTTGGAGTGAAAGGACAGGGGTTCAGATCCCAGCTTTGTGATTTGTTACTTACTTGACCATCCTGGGCCCCTTTGCTTTGTCTCCCCAGGTCTCAAGTTTTCCGTAAAACCAGGGATTCTGAATCTGGGGTCCACAGACCCCTGTGGATAGATTTCAGGGGCTCCATAAACTTGGTTAGGAAAGAAAATGACATCTTTATTTTCAGTAACCTCTAACTGAAATTTACATTTCCTTCTATTATGAAAGGAAACATGGTGCTTAGAAGTGGTCCTAAGCTTTCCCAAACTGCCCAAGGGGCCCAAGAAGTCCTGTTGGTTGATAGACGCTCTCTAAGGTCCTTCCAGCTTTGAATCCTGTGCTCTGGGTCAGCCCTGTTCTTGGACCTTAACTTTCCAATAGTCCAGTGGAGTTCCCATGCCCTCCCAGGTTTATCCCTGGGAAGAGAAATATGATGCACACCCCATTACTTGGGGTCAAGTTTCCCCTTTGCCACTTTTTTGCCAACATCTAAGGAGCCCATATTTCCAGCTTCCAGTCTGGGTGGAGAGCTTTAGGCAGCAGGAACACCAAAAATCAGGGAACATGATCAAGGTTATAACACAATCACCATTCTGTAGGGCAGTGAGGAGACCCAGGCCCTCATTTGTGGTGGAGCTAGGGAGGTAAAAAAGAAAGGCCATAGGGAGAATGGGCTCTGGGTCTGAAGAATCTGAGGATTTGAGGGTAAAGAGATGGAAGAAATTAAAAGAGAGGAAGGGGGGGGGGAGGCGTTCCTGCCCAAGCTTCTAACCTTTGCGACTAGCCAAAACTCCAGGGCAAGGAGGAAGCTCCCCATCCCCTCTCCTCCATCCCCAATTCCACTCTCTCTCATCTCTTTGCTACGACCTAAAATCCCCATAACCGAATTACAGCAGGTGATGATTTTTCCTGGATACGCTGTTCTGTTTTCATGGCACTGCCTTCCTGGTTCTCCTGCCTGTCTGACTGCTCTTAGGGGTTCCGTTCTTCAAGTTTCCCTTTTCCAAACCATCTTCCACACAGCTGCCAAAGAATATACTAAAAGGGGCAGCTAGGTGGTGCCATGGAGAGCGCACTGGCCCTGGAGTCGGGAGGACCTGAGTTCAAATGTGGCCTCAGAGTTGTGTGACCCTGAGCAAGTCACTTAACCCCAATTGCCCCCCCAAAAAAAGAATATCCTAAATCATCATTCTGATGGCATCACTCCCTCCTCAGCAGCCTCCAGTGACTCCTTGTTACCTCTTGGATTAACTATAACTCTCTATTTGACATTTAAAAGCACTTACACATCTTACTCCAACCTGCCGCCTTACACCTCACTCCTCTCCATGAACTCTGCAGATTAGCCAACCTGTCTTTGCCATTCCTCACACAAGACACCCTTCCCTTCCTTGTGTATTTTTGGTATGCCTGGAATACCGAGTTCCTTGGTATTCTATCTCTCGGTATCCTGAGTTTCCTTCAAAGCTTAGCTAATGTGCCACCTTCTACATGAGTCATCATGTAGTACCTGGCCCACCGTCAGACGTTTATTAGCTGTGTGACTGTGGGCAAGTCACTTAACTTCTGTTTGTCCCAGTTTCCTCAACTGTAAAATGGGGATAATAGCACCCACGTTGAAGGGTAATGAGAATCAAATGAGATACTTGTAAAGCACCCTTCCTTGGCGGGTTGTATTTGTTAAGAGCTTAGCAGTGACTGGCACACAGTAAGTACTATATAAATGCTCATTCCCTTTCTCCAAAAAATTATCTTAATTTTAAAAAACATTATATGCATGATGTTTATGAGCAGCTAGGTAGCACAGTGGATAGAGCACAGGTCTTGGAGTGAGGACAGACTCATCTTCCTGAGTTCAAATCTGACCTCAGACACTAGCTATGTGACCCTGGCCAAGTCACTTAATCCTGTTTGCCTCAGTTTCCTCATCTGGAAAATGAGATGGAGTGGCAAACCACTCCAGTATCTCTGCCAAGGAAACCCCAAATGAGGTCAGAAAGGGACAGACACAACTGAAAACAATGAACGATAACAGCAATGCCTATTTATACATGAATTTGTCTCCCTGCAACAGAACATACAAGCTCCTCAGGGGCAGGGACTTTTTTTTTTCACTTTTGTCTCCATAGCCCTAGTGCCTAGCACAGTACTTGGTGCACAGCAGATATTTATAAATGATTGGTGGATTATCGTCAGGTTCTACCATATGCAGTGGTAGAAGAGCATACAGCTTGGCCATGAATGGGGTCAGGATTGAGGGTCACAAGCCTCAACAACCTAACCCCCATAGTGTAATCTGATCTCCCTAATTTTTCCAGCCCACTGAAGGAATGACAGACCTTTAAAGTATACATATAATACGTGAAAATATATTTAATAGGAATGTATATGTAGAGCCCATATCAGATTGCACATCTTCTTGGGGAGGGAGGAAGGGAGGGAGGGGGAGAAAATTTGAAACTCAAAAGCTTATGGAAGTGAATGTTGAAAACTAAAAATAAATTAATTTTTTAAAAAAGTATACATACTATAACTGGCACCAAGAAATGGAGGGGGAAGGGATGGTCCTTCACAAATCCCATTTTTCCAAAGTTGCTTAGCTACGAGGTGCATTTGACAAATGAAATGAATACCTAAGCTAAACAATGAACCAGAAGACAGTATTTCCAGCTTCTTGGAATAGTTAAACTGTACATGTAGGCTAATGAAGTGTGTTGAATGAGATTTTTGCAGGCCACTAGGTGGTGAGAATATATTTGGAATCTTTCTAGAAAATGAACACTGACAGATTTTTTTTTTAATAAAGGAAAAGTTGGATGCTAAAGGGTCCTCCCCATCTGGGCTGTGTTCCAAGAAAGCAGGAAAAGAAACAGCCTAAAATGATTAAATTTAAAGTGGATGATCGCTGCTGAGAATTTTCTTTTTTTTTTTTCTTCCATAAAAAGTCTTTCTCCTCCCTCCATGGTCACTGTAGGCCTGGAGTAGCCTCCAACTCTCTTCCCTGAATTGTTATTCTCAGAAATCATCAAGCATATATTTTGAGGGCAAAACTGCAAATGTATTGTAAATGTCATCCAAATGGCCTAGACAGTTCCATTTGAGGGCTATTGGCTCTGTGTTCTCACTCATTTTTTTCCCCTGCTACATGGTGCACAGCAAATTCAAGAATGGAGGTTACCTGGTACATTCATCAGACAAAGCTGTGGGCCTCTTCATTCTCATCCAATAGACACAAAAATGTTAGAAGAAAACATAGAGGCCTTTCCCCTTCCTAGCTAATGACTTGGCTTTCGTGCCTTAAGAGGCCTTTTGCTTCTTTTTAAATCCTTTAAACTCTTAGGGAGGGAGGTGGGATTCCTAAAAACCCTTCAGTTAATGAAAAGGAAAACAAGCTCACCACAGCCCTCACCCTTACAACATGGAGCTGCTGAAGATGGCGGTACTTCAGCCTCGGGCTGCCAGTGATCGGCAAGCCAGAGAGAAGCTGTTCTATCTTCCCATCCCATCTTGAAACACAGTTGGGGCATTCAGTCCTGGAGCCCTAAGAAAGGCCAGCTAAGGAGAGGGCAGCAAGAAGAATACTGTCCTTTTCTTCCAGGAAGCACAAAGCCCCCTCTGGTTAATCTCTGGTCAGGACATACTGAGTAAAGTATCCCCCCTTGGACATGTAGGGAAATTGGAGAAAAATCTATCACCACTTACATCCTGTAAAAGACTTGAGAAACTGGGTCTCTACTTTATCTTTCTCCTGGGCTTTTGGAGTCTCATTTGACCCTGTCATCTCCACAGCCAAAAGTGAGTTTTATTCATTAAAAAACAGGGGATGGGGCAGCTAGGTGGCACAGTGGATAGAGCACCAGCCCTGGATTCAGGAGGACCTGAGTTCAAATCCAGCCTCTGACACATAACACTTACTAGCTGTGTGACCCTGGGCAAGTCACTTAACCCCATTGCCTAGCCAAAAAAAAAAAAAAGACGGGAAAAAAAGCCACCAAGTTCACCACTGTTAGACTAATCATTTCTTTGTATTTTATTTTTAATTTTTGGAATAAAGCAAACATTTCTATAACATAGTACAATATTTCAAATGAAAATGTGCCAGCTAACCCACTTGGAGAGACATGATAGTGGTTTCAGAAGACCTGGGACTGCGTCACAGTCCTGAGAATCTTGTAGCTACCAAGTCAGTTCAGTCCTCTCAGGTTTGCTCAATTTCCTTTCTAGGAAATAGAAACAATAATATTGGTATTACCCACCTCAGAACATCCGGTAGATTGCAAAGCACTATATGACTGTGAACTATTATTTCCTAAGACATCATAATTGTAAAAGTGCTTAGTACAGTACCTGGCACATGGTAAGCGCTATAAAAGTTTGTGGTGGTGTTGTTCAGTCATTCTCAGCTGTGTCTGACTCTTCATGACCCTATTTGGGGTCTTCTTGGCAAAGATACTGGAGCGGTTTGCCATTTCCTTCTCCAGCTCATTTTCCAGATGAGGAAACTGAGGCAAACAAGTTAAGTGACTTGCCCAGGGTGACACAGCTATTAAGTGTCTGAGACTGGATTTGAAACTCAGATGAGTTTCCCTGATTCCAAGCCCAGCACTATTACTATTACTATAATTATTAATTATTATTAATTATCATCATCATTATTAAAAGACAAAGCATTAGAATCAGGAGTCAATCTGTCAATCAACAGCCACTCGTTAAGCACCTGCTATTAGCCAGGCAAGGTACCAGGCACCAGAGATACAAATACAAGAGGAACAAACCATACCTGACCTTTAAGGAGTTTTTATTTATCTATGGGAAGACTTGAGCTCAAGTCCCCTTTGTGACAAATACTGGCTGACCTTAATTAAGCAAAACACTTATCCCCTCAGTGCCCCAGACAACTGTCTAAAACCTTAAGCTGAAGAAGACTTGGAGCTCTTCACCCCTGCTCTCCTCACTGGTGGTCTTTTGTGCCACTGAAATCTTAAATCCCAAACCAAAAATGAGCAAATGAATGAATGAGTGAATGGATTAATGAATGAGTGAGTGAGTGAATGAAGTGTCACCTGGCACCATCTGTCCAGGCTATAAGTTCTCATGGTTTGTTTGTCCGTCTAACTGCACATTATCATCTGGAAAATGGGCATTCTTCACTCACCTCGTTTCCCCTGTTGAAAGGTTAGGAACAACTTTTCAGAGAGATTACATGTCTCATTTAGGAGGCTCTGCAGGTTCCAGAGCCTGACATTGTCAGCATGAGAACAATAGATAATATTTATATGATATTTATGTCTAACAGTTATGTAACATTTATAGATAACATTTATATATTTGTATAAAGGTATTGGATGAATAGATGTTTTGCATCATATTTAATATATACTGCATACATACACACACATATATGTGTATGCATACACACACGAGTGCCTGTTCTTGCATCTTTGTGTGTGTGTGTGTGTGTGTGTGTGTGTGTGTGTGTATTGGGCAGCTAGGTGGTGAAGTGGATAGAGCACCTGGCCTGGAGTTAGGAAGACTCATCTCCTTGAGTTCAAATCTAGCCTCAAACACTCACCAGCTGTGTGTCCCTGGGCAAGTCACTTATGAGCTTAAGAAGGAAATGGCAAACTTCTGCAGTATCTTTGCCAAGAAAACCCCAAATGGGCTCACAAAGAGTTGGACACCACTGAAAACAACTCAACAACATGTATATGTTGTTCCTTCTGCCAATGGAATGGAAGTTCCTTGAAGACAAGGATCATTTGTCTTTGTAGCCCTAGCACCTAGTACAGTGCCTGGCACACAGTAGGTACTTAATAAATGCATGAATGAATGTTAATCTGGTGGTGCAGCACTGGTTGCATTACCATATGTGGAGAAGCCTCCAAAACGTACCAGCAAATGGGCTGAGGAAAGGGTGTGCTAGAGATAGGAGTAGTATGGAAGGGGATAACAAAAAAGGACCATGAAGCATCGGTGCTAGAAGGGAGCTGAAAGACCATCGAAGAAACTGAAGGTCAGAGAGGGCCAGTGACTTCTCCAAAGTCACACGAGGACTTCATAGCAGAGCTGGGATCTAATCCTGACTTCCCCTGACTTCCAATACCACTTCTAGGGCTGTATCCCAAAGAGATCATAAAAATGGGGGAAAGACCCACATGCACAAAAATATTTACAGCAGCTCTTTTTGTAGTGGCCAAGAACTGGAAAGTGAGGGGATGCCCATCAGCTGGGGAATGGCTGAACCAGTTGTGGTATATGAATGTAACGGAATACTATTGTGCTATAAGAAATGAGGGGCAGGAGGATTTCAGAAAAACCTGGAAAGCTTCCTATGAACTGATGCTGAGTGAAGAGAGCAGAACCAGAACATTGTACACAATAAGAGCCACATTGTGTGATGACTGACTTTGATAGACTTAGCTCTTCTCAGCAATACAATGATCTAAGACAATGCCAAAAGACTCATGATGGAAAATGCCATCCACCTCCAGAGAAAGAACTATGGAGCTTGAATGCAAATCGAAGCATACTGTTCACTCTCTCTTTTTTGTTTTGTTTTGTTTCTTCTTTCTTCAGGTTCCTCTCATTCATTCTAATTCTTCTTTACAACATGATGAATGTGAAAATGTGTTTAATAAGAATGTATATGTACAGCCCATAGCAGATTGCTCGCCATCTTGGGGAGGGGGGAAGGCCGGGAGGGGGAGAAAATTTAAAGCTCGAAAGCTTATGGGGGCAGCAAGGTGGCACAGCGGATAGAGCACCGGCCCTGAAGTCAGGAGGACCTGACTCTGACCTCAGACCAAAACACTTCATACTTATTAGCTGTGTGACCCTGGGCTAGTCACTTAACCCCAATTGCCTTTAAAAAAAAAAGAAAGAAAAGAGAAAAAAAGCTTATGGAAGTGTTGAAAACTAAAAATAAATTAATTAATTAAAAAAAATAAAATGCAAGGTTCTGTTTACCCCAGCCCAAAAGTAGCAGAGATGTAGACTTATCCATCCATCAGTCACACCAAAATTGGAAGTAAACTTGGTGGAGGATTATTAGGTAGAAAGTGAGTTAAATCTGAGACCACTGTTCCAGGGAATGAGGCAGTTATAAGGGAGACAGTGGCCACACGTGTTGGGGTAAAGTTATCATATTAGCCTTACTATATCTTCCCAATAAATATCCCCCCAAAATACCTTTGTAAACATGTTTTTAAAATAGAAAATTAAATGAGAAGTTCTTTAAGTTGAAGTGGGGGAAAGGTGGCTCTTCAGAAATCTCCCTGGATCTTGCAGGACTGCAATTAGAATGTTTTTGGCTCCGAATTGATTTGGTTTCTCACATTTACTTTCACCAGAGTTTCACTTTCCCCCACAGGTTCACTCCCTCTGCCTGCAGCCAGGTACCTGGCCTGTTTATGCAGGGGCCGGATTTCATGGGTGTGCTCAGGCTGCGATGTGTTGTGAGGAAGCTGGAAGAAGCCACGCCATGAGGACGTGGTCCTGGTCCAGCCCCTCTGAGCGGCATCAGAGCCCACACTTGCTCCTTGCATCCAGCAAAACAAGGTCGCAGATCACCCAGCCCTGGGCAGGTCCGGGCAGGGAGTAGGGGGGACCACCAAGCCACACGTGAGCCGCCTCGGAGGGAGAGGAGATGTGAAAAGTTCATGTCGACTGCACACTGGACAGTGTGGTGTCCCATTTTGTTTTTGTCCTGGGGTAGTTGGGGTGGGTTTTTTTTTTCATGCTTAAAAATAGCTTGGTGGGACAGCATATCCCAGCATTCCTGGAAACAAAAACTGAACCACACTTGGCAGGAGCTTCCAGCGTCTCCTGATGTCCCCAACAGCAGGCAGAGGAGGCCTGTGACATCCCAGATGAGGATGAGACATCAGAGAGGAAGAGGAGGAAGAGGAGGAGGAGGAGGAGGAAGGGCAGGGCCATCAGCTGTTTCCCCTGTCTCCTGGGCCAGACTGAAATTTACCTTTGCTCCCCAGTCTTCAGTACTGTTTTTAAAAAAAGTTTCCATCACAAGAGGCTGAATTAGGAAACTGAGGTTAGCAAAATATGAGTCTTATTCAGAAAGCCAGCAAGCCATCTGTTCCTCAGCTGATGGTTTGCCCAGGTCCTGGGGCAGGCCAGGTTACACAGGATGCGAGAGACAAGTGGGGGCTGAGGTTAGGAAGGGGAATGAAAAGCCTGAGATCAGAACACGCCCAACAAAGACCCGTGTTCAGTTCTCTTTAGGGTTTCCTGTGGCTAGGGAGAGAACACAGTGTACGTACGGAGAGCCCAGGCGTTCGCTCAGCCCCTGGGTCCTAGTGCTGGCCACAGCCGGGCAGAACTAGAACAATGGGGAGCTCTCTTCAGGCGCTGGCGGTCAGAATCACAGGGGCAGTCACCAAAGGGCCCAGATTTGCTGGCTCAGCTTTGGGCAGAGAGTCAAGCCCATAAATAGGAAAAGTGAACCAGGCCATCCAAATAAATAACTCCCACTACGAGGGGACTGCTCAAGGTTTCCTCACCACAGGCCCGGCAGGGAGTGCCCACAAATGCCCACTTTCAGATATATTCATTCATAAACATTTATTAAGTACCTACTGTGCACCAGGCACTGAGGAATCAGAACACTCCAAAAGAGGAAACCTTCCCCTACCAAGGAAGAGGAGGCAAACTTTGCCACTTAAGAGTCATTTAAAGTAGGCACTGAGGGGTAAAGGGACTTGGGCGAGGTCACACAGTCAGATCAGAGGTCAGGTCGAGAACCCAGGTCTTCCTGACTGTGAGGCTAGCACACTATCCCCTTATACCATGTGGCCTCTATGAGGTTCATACAAAGTCATTTTCTCAGAGTAAAGGAGGGGGCACTAACTGAGGAGGTGGCTTCCTCCAGGGAAGTTTTAGGCTTTGACCACTGCCCACGGTCACATGCCCAGCATCAGACACAGTGCTTTCCTTCCAGCTCCCTCTCCACTCACCAGCTGCTTTTATGCTGAATTGTGGAGACCTCCCTACCTCAGTTCCCCTGGATTTTCTGGATTGACAGCTGCTTTGCCAGTTTCTCTAGCTGACCTCCAAACAGAAGGGCTTGACCATCTTCAAGAAGACAGTCAGGCCTTTGCCTGCTGTGCTCAAGCACTTCAGGGACCCCTGGAGGAAAAAAAAAAACTGGATTCAGAGCAGACACTCCAGCACAGAAAGAAAGAAAAGATGAGAAAAGGGATGAGGCTGATGAGCAGTTTGAGGGAGCGCACTAGAGGGAGGGCCCATGGCACACCAACCCCACTCAAGACTCTCTGGTTTTCAAGGTGGGGCCTAAATTCAAAGCCACCTCGTGAGAAAGCTACCTGGAGCTGGAGGTGCTGGGTCAGAGCCCAGGCCCTGGTTCTCTGAGACGTGCTGTTTGCCCCATGGCTCTGTGGTTCCATTGACCAGCCCCTCTCCTTCCATGGAAGAAACAAAAAGGTAAGCAGGGACTTCTGTTTATTCCTTGTGGGAAAGAGTGCCTAGAACATGCACCCACACCCAACTTTTTAATAGCAGCCTTTCAAGACTCCAGGAACACTCTCTTCCTTCCTTCCTTCATTCATCATTCATTCAATCCCAGGAACACTCTATTCCTTTCTTCCTTCCTTCCTTCATCATTCATTCAACCCCAGGAACACTCTGCTCCTTCCTTTCTTCCTTCCTTCCTTCCTTTCTTCCCTCCTTCCTTCCCTCAACATTCATTCATTCAACCCCAGGAACACTCTGCTCCTTCCTTTCTTCCTTCCTTCCTTCCTTTCTTCCCTCCTTCCTTCCCTCATCATTCATTCATTCAACCCCAGGAACACTCTACTCCTTCCTTCATTCATTCATCATTCATTCAACCCCAGGAACACTGCTCCTTCCTTCCTTCCTTCCTTCCTTCCTTCCTTCCTTCCTTCCTTCCTTCCTTCCTTCCCTCCTTCCCTCCTTCCTTCCTTCCTTCCTTTCTTCCTTCCTTCCTTCCTTTCTTCCCTCCTTCCTTCCCTCATCATTCATTCATTCAACCCCAGGAACACTCTACTCCTTCCTTCATTCATTCATCATTCATTCAACCCCAGGAACACTGCTCCTTCCTTCCTTCCTTCCTTCCTTCCTTCCTTCCTTCCTTCCTTCCTTCCTTTCCTTCCCTCCTTCCCTCCTTCCTTCCTTCCTTCCTTTCTTCCTTCCTTCCTTCCTTTCTTCCCTCCTTCCTTCCCTCATCATTCATTCATTCAACCCCAGGAACACTCTACTCCTTCCTTCCTTCCTTCCTTCATCATTCATTGAACCCCTGGAACACTCTGCTCCTTCCTTCTTTCATTCATTCATTCAACCCCAGGAACATTCTATTCCTTTCTTCCTTCCTTCTTCAGTCATCATTTATTGATAAGCACCCACTGTTATTAGACACTGAGGGGGATACAAAATCAAGACCAACTACAATGCCTGCCCTCATGGAGCTTACCTAAAAATTGCAGATGTATTGGTATACATTTACCCTGGTAACACACTATCTTTGTAGTGGAAAAAATACTGAACTTGTAAGAAAGCTCTGGGTTCAAATCCTACCATACAACATTTACTACCTGTGAGACCATAGGTCAAGCCACTTCGCCTTGCTGGGCCTCAATTTCATCATCTGCAAAATGGAGACAATAATACTGACAGTTCTCAGCTCATAGGTTTGTTAAGTTCAAAAAGCCCATCGGTGAGTTGAAAACGCAGTACAAATGTCAGCCATTATCATCCTCTATGGCATGGATGACCAAACTGGTCCCAATAGGTCTGGCCTTCTATTCTGAAAGAGGAAACTTGTAATGTGACTCAGGCCAGCAACTGGAGATGGTGAGAGAGGGAGGGAGGCTCCCACCACCTTTGCAGTCTTATCTTAGACTTCCCTCCGTGCACTCTGTTCCAGTCAAACGTGTCTTCTTTATTCAATCTCCAGCCAAGGCTGCCTCATAACCTCATCAAATCCCCAGCTTCCTTCTTGGCCCAGTTCAGGCTGCCCCTCCGATGTGGGACCCTTCCAGATTCCCCGATTCATTTGCTTGCACTTTCTGCTCTTGAAATCCTTTGGAGTATCATCTGCGTTTACCTTTAGGCATACAGCTTGTAAACCCCAGTAGAATATAAGGCCCTTGAGGGCAAGAACTGTCTTACCAAATTTGTCTTTCTATCCCTAATGGCTCACACAAGTGTCTTGTACATAGTAGGTGTTTAATCAATGTTTGTTAAACTCTTGAATTAAGGAAGGGAAAGACATTTTTTTTTCAGGGGAAGAAACTCATTATGGTGGGCAGGCACACTCTCCAACTGGTATTTTCAGATTTGCAATCACACAGCTTAAAAACCCACATAGCTGATCTGACTTTGTGGGTAATAGGAGATAGGATCCTCTGGGGGTCTGAGGACGACTTCTTGCCATGTGCCAACATCCTGATTTTCTGACCAGACTGTGGCATCAAGTTTGGGGGAAGTGGCCATCACAGAAGTCTTCCTAATTGGGTATGTCCTAAATGCGTCAAGTCCAGGAGCCCTCCTAAGCAGGGAGTGAGATTTCACCTCTTGAAGCTTGGAATCACAGTGTTCTCGGTTCTGCTTTGTATCCTGGGATGGCTAGCACCTCAGGGCACAGGTGTAACAGGAGTCCCTTGTTGTGATTGGCCAAGCCTTGCCATTGACCTATATTTTAATGCTTGATTCTTGCGGAACCATGTTCTGACTGATCAATGTGTGTCTGCAGAGTCACCTTGCACCCCCGTCCATGGTTAGATAAGCCCAAGCAAGCCTGCTCCCCTGCCCAGCACCTTGGCATCTCCCCGTTGGAAGCTTCACAACCTCCCTTCCCACGAAGATCTCCATGTAGGGCAGTTCTGAAAGCCAAGGCAGCAACCCCATGGGCACACCCAGTTTGGGGCACATTCCTTGGTTCAATAGACACCTGAAAGAGCCTCTTGGCTCCATGAATATTCACTTGTTGGCAAGCAGACTACTGCAGGATCATTTTTTGCCATAGAAACAATGTTATAGATAATGGTTAGATTCTCAGACCATCCCACAAGAGCCTCTGTTTTACTTGGTGCAAATAAAAGCCTTTTTAAACCAAAATGTAGCCAAGCTGTTACTTTTAGAGCCCCATGCATGAGTAGATTGGGAGTGGGCCCGTTTCTTCAAGTGCCTGTTTATATAAATCCAGCCTCAGACTCCTACTAGCTGCGTGATCCTGATTGCTCACTCCAGTCTGCCTTAGTTTCCTCATCTGTAAAATGGGGATAATAACAGCACTTGGTTCCCACGGTGCTTGTGCGGATAAACTGATATTTGCAAAGTGCTTTGCAAAACCTAAAGTGATAGCTATTATCATTAAAAGGTTTTTTTTTAACTTTTACTATCAGTTTTTTAGAATTTGGAATACATTTTCCAGAGGAAACAATATTATAAATGATAGGTTCCTATATCAGTTCTGTGAAATGCCATCACAAACAAGTCTATTTCAGTCCTTCCCCATGGGATAGAGGCAACCCTGAATGCTCTAGGGCTATGCAAGTGGGGTATAATTTCCGGCAGAGCCTCCCAAACTTGAAAGGCTTGGAGTACAGGCCAGCAATGGACTCTCTCTGCCTCTTGGACCAGCCTGGTTAAGTGCAGAAAGCCCTGTCCCCTGGTTGGCTGTTTTCATTTACAGCCACTCTTCAGGACCATGTGCTAAGACTAGAGGCGTGTGAGCCTCGTGAGGGCGTATGTTATAATGCACAAAGCTTTGGACTTGGAGTCAGGAAAACAGGAGGTCAGCTGTTGCCTCAGACACTCATTAGGTGTGTGGTCCTAAGCAAGTCACTTAACATATGTGAGACTCAATTGCTTCATCTTTAAAATGAGGATAATAATAGCACCAACCTTATAAGGTTGTTATGGAGATCAAGGGAGGGAAAGATGTCAAGAATCTTCTATAAATGTGAACTACAATTAAATTACAACTTCACTAGGGAAGATGAAGGGGTTGGCCAAGGTTGGTCCTGAGATCCCTTCCAGATCTGAGTCTATGAAGAAGGAAGGGGAAAAAATAGCATTAGGCAAGAGCTTACTATGTGCCAAGGACTGTGCTGAATGGTGGAGATTCAGATACAAACACAAAGACCTGCCTGCAAGGGAGAGGCAACACGTATTGGGAAGTAGGGGCCAGCGAGGGATGTTTGGTTGGAAGCTTCCAAGAATAGTGAGGGGAGGCAGAGGAGAATAGGGCAACACCACATCTTTTCCAAAAGCAAGGGCAGACTTGATTTGTTAAGATTCAAGAACTAGACCTCAGTGTTGGCAGCGGAGGGAGCTTAAGTGAGGGCGTGATTAGCTAAAAGCCCAAGAGCTTAGAATAAGTTTCCTGTACGGTCGTTCAAAGTCTTCAAACTCTTTTTACATACCTTACCTCTTTTATTTCTTACAGAAATCCTGGGAGGCAGGCAGGGGAGATAATATTATCTACATTTTTACAGATGACAGCCTCAGATAAGTGACGTAATCCACAGTCACAGGGCTAATAATTTGGGCTAAAGCCCAGATCTCCTAGAGCCTGTCCCTCAACACCAAAGCTGTGACAGTCTTCTGGGCTGAAATGGTTGAGGAGTCAGGGTCCTGAGGCCCCCAGCTCCTGGTCTCCAGAGCCAGGAGCAGTCCCAGGACAAGCCTCTTCCTGCACCCCCTACCCCTTCAGCTTACTACATACTCTGCTTAAGCCTCCTGGAGACAAAGATTTCCTGGGAAACCTTCTCTGCTAACAAACAGGTTCCCTTGGTGCCAGAGGGGAGAAATGACCCTTTGGTAAGTTGTATCTGCAGAAACGAGTCCCCTTCCCTAATAGCTCAGCCTCCATCTCATTTGCCCTAAAACAACTGAACTTCAGATATTGTGAACATAGACCTATAGTGCTTTAATTGATTCAATTTCAATTCAGCTAATATTTATTAAGGGCCTGCTATGTGCAAGGCTTTGTGCTAAGTGCTAGAGATAAGATGAGAAAAACAGAACTGTTCCTGCCTTTCAGGGGTTTACAGGCTACTAGGAAGATACTTTGTGTGTATGTCTGTGTGTATGAGTGTGTGTGTGTGTGTGTGTGTGTATATACACACACACACACACACACACACACATATATACAGCATATATAGTATATATACTAAGAAACACATATACTAAGTAGCATATATTACATGTGCATATAAGTGTACATACACATATGTACACATATAAAAATATATAAACACATATACATATATACTATATACTGTATTATATATACATATATAATATAGTATGCACACACATATGTACATATAGTATGTATAGTATATATACTATAGTATGTATATATAAGCATATATAGATGCATATACACACATAAAAATATACGTGTATACACATAGATATATACTTACAGTATATGTACT